TTTTTTTTTTTTTTCTTTTTTTTTGTGCACCTTCCTGAAATTGGCTTGATGCCCCTTGAATGTTTATGTTTCTGTGGAATGGCCATTTAACATGATTGATTATTTTGTAGTTTATTTTCTGATTGTAGGATTGATGATCCCCTTGGTGCCTTGTTTGCTGCTATGCTGCGCTGGTGTTGCCCGTCCTATACAGTCATAGTTATTGCCAAGTTTACCGTGATCATAAGGTTGAAGTTGGCTCTTTAATATGCAAATTCCACATTAGAGGAAGATACTTGTGAGTTGAAACCTCTGCAATGTTCTTAATATCTGTAACAGAAAGAAATGGTGTTTGGTAAAATTGCAGAAGTGATTTCTTCTGCATCTAGTCATTTATCATCCACTCAGTCTTCTTCTGTTCAGTATATGTCACCTGCATTGTCACCTCCGAAGAGTAAAGGTTCTTCTCATGGGCTTTTTGTGAATTCTGGCCACAAGAGCAACTTGCGCCTGTCATCATCTCTCCAAGATTTCTCCTCATATCATCGGCTTGATTTGGAAGAAGGTGATCTTAATGATGGAAATAATAGGAGTGTTACAAAACAGCCTTTACAGAGAGACAATGCTGGATCAAGTTTCTCAAAGGAAAAGGCTTTTCCAGGTGGTACTTCCTTTAAGTGCCGGAATTCAGTGAGAATGTTCTTGGGTTTCTTGTGCCTACTTTTATTTGCTTTCCCTTTATATGCAATTTCAATGTATATTTATTCCAACCAGGCTCAAGGGGCTTCCAAATATTATGTTGTACTTGATTGTGGAAGTACTGGAACGCGAGTTTATGTGTATCAGGCATCAATTGATCACAAGAAAGATGGCAGCCTCCCTATTGTCATGAAATCATTCACAGAAGGTCTTTCTAGAAGACCTAGTTCACAGAGTGGACGTGCATATGATCGAATGGAGACTGAGCCTGGCTTTCATAAATTGGTGAACAACAGATTTGGATTGGAGGCTGCCATAAACCCATTAGTTCGGTGGGCTGAGAAGCAAATTCCTGAGCATGCCCATAACACTACCTCTCTTTTCCTTTATGCTACAGCTGGTGTTCGAAGGCTGCCGAGTGCAGATTCAAAATGGCTTCTAGACAATGCTTGGTCCATATTAAAGAGTTCACCCTTCTTGTGCAGAAGAGAGTGGGTTAAGGTTATCAGTGGAACAGAGGAAGCTTACTATGGGTGGACAGCCCTCAACTATCAGAGTCACACGTTAGGGGCCACACCTAAAAAGGCAACATTTGGTGCACTTGACTTAGGTGGATCATCATTGCAAGTTACTTTTGAGAATGAGCAACACCAGCATAATGAAACAAACTTAAACCTTAGAATTGGAGCTGTTAACCACCATCTCAGTGCCTATTCTCTCCCAGGATATGGTTTGAATGATGCATTTGATAAGTCTGTGGTTCATCTATTGAAGAAGCTCCAAGATAGCCCCAATACAATTCTTGTTAATGGCAAGATAGAGATTAAGCATCCTTGCTTGAACTCTGGCTACAAGGAACAATACACTTGTATACAGTGTGTAACTAATGACCAAGAGAATGGGAGTCCTATAATTGGAGGAAATAAATCACAGAAAGGAGGAAAGTCTGGGATTTCTGTGCAGCTTATTGGTTCTCCAAATTGGGAAGAATGCAATGCACTTGCAAGAGTTGCTGTAAATTTGTCTGAATGGTCAAATCTAAAGCCAGGAATTGATTGTGATTTGCAACCCTGTGCTCTTTCTGATAGTCTTCCTCACCCTTATGGCCAGTTCTATGCCATTTCTGGTTTTTTTGTTGTATATCGTTTTCTCAATCTGTCTTCAGATGCTGTACTTGATGATGTACTGGAAAAGGGTAGGGAGTTCTGTGGAAAAACTTGGGAAGTTGCAAAAAATAGCGTCGCTCCTCAGCCCTTTATTGAACAGTATTGCTTTAGGGCACCATATATAGTATCATTATTGAGAGAGGGCTTGCACATTTCAGATGGTCAGATTATTTTTGGTTCTGGAAGTATTACATGGACACTAGGTGTTGTCCTGTTGGAAGCTGGAAAATCTTTTTCAACTAGGTTGGGCCTCCACGGTTATGAAATACTGAAGATGAAGATAGATCCAATATTTCTTATTGGCATTTTGTTAATTTCAGTAATTCTTCTTGCTTGTGCATTATCATGCATTTGCAATTGGATGCCTAGATTTTTTTGGAAGCTATATCTCCCTCTTTTGTGGTGTAACAGTGCATCCCCCTCATCAGTTCTTAACATCCCATCCCCTTTCAGGCCCCAGCGCCGGAGTCCTATCAGTGAAGGTAAGACCTGTGAGATCCATACGTTTGCGCATGTTTCTGTTACATTCATGGTAATCATTGGTAGATAATCTCTTTGATTAACTGGGTTGATTCACTTAGTTCTGTTGAATCTTTTTTGACAGATTTTCTTCCTTCTTTTTGGTTGTTTCCTGGTTTCTCCCATCTGATATTGGAAAGAAATGTTCTCCGTGTCTTTGCAGGAGATGAAAGAGTTAAGACACCTCTAAGTCCTACAGTTAGTGGCTACCGGGAAAGACCCTTTAGCTTGGGACATGGTCTTGGTGGCAGCAGCATCCAACTCATGGTGTCTTCCTCGTACGCACCAACTAGTAGAGATTCACATATTTATTCCTCAAAAAGCTTGGGAGAGATGCAGGCTGACAGTAGCAGCTTGGGTTCCTTCTGGTCCACTCATAGAACTCAGATGGGTTTGCAAAGTAGGCGTTCACAATCACGAGAAGACCTGAATTCGTCTCTAGCTGAAGCACACATGGTGAAGGTTTAGGGAGTGCTCGTCAGAAGTTTTGTTATGCTTATTTCTCTCTTCACCAAATTACATTTTCCATCTAGGAAAAGAACCTGAAAATATCTCTCTAAAGTTTTTACTTAGTATTCAATTCTAGAAATTCATTTTGTACCATACAAGATTTCAGTTGAGAAAGTAAGTTGACACATCTAATCTTTCATACTTCAAATTTGTAACTAGCTTCCAAAGGACAGGACAATATCGTTCCATGCATTTCCTGACTTCACAATTGTAGTGTCTAACATTCTATTAATACATTCATCTGTAAACATTTACTGAACTACAAAAGCAATACAAAATAGAAGTGAATGCTTATCAACAGTAGTGCTTCTCAATACTTTCTGTTATCTCTTGCTTTATTTTTTATGCATGACATCGCATTTATTCCAGATATTCCTGGCATTACAGAATTTAATATCAAGGGGTGGGGGGGTGATTCTAGGCTAATGATGACCTTGGTCTAACCATTGATTCCGGCAGATCTCACACACAGCCAAGATTCCAATCTAGCTAACTGGCTATGACTTGATGTTCTCACATCAGACAACTTCCTACTTCTTTAATGGCTTAATTCAATTTTTAGTCTATTAACTATCATCTTAATTTCATTTTAGTCTAGAAACTATTTTTTATTTTTAAGTAGTCTATTAGCTTTCAGATTCATTTCAATTTTGTACTTGGTCAAAGATAAGATAACGGAAAATTTCGGTTAGAGAATAATTAGTCCTCTAACTATATTTTTTTGATCTTTTAGTCCTCAAATTTATATTTGTTATAAAAATAACTTTTATACTTAAAATTATTATTTTTAGGTTCTGATACCAGATTTTTATACTTAAAATTATTATTTTTAAGTGATTTATTAACTTTTAGGCTCTGATACCAAATTAAAGAAATATGAAAACTCGTATAAAAATCTGGTATCAGAGCTTATAAATAAAAATTTTAAATAAAAAAGTTATTTTTATAACAAATATAAATTTAAGGATTAAAAAATCAAAAAAAATATAGTTAGAGGACTAACTGTTCTCTAACAGAATAGGAAGTTTACTAGACGAAATTGAAATGAATCTGAAAGTTAATAAACCACTTAGAAACAAAACATAATTTCTAGATTAAAATGAAATCAAAGTGATAGTTAATAGACTAAAAATTAAATTAAGCCCTTCTTTAATCATTTCACAACTAATCTGGCAGGCCTGATGAGTGATGACTATCGTCACCTAAAGGTTGAAACACCTATCTGCACTACAGCACAGCCTACGTTAATGTTTTTTATTTTTGCCTAAACTTACAGGTTCTACAGCAGCCTTTTACATATATAGTGATAGAATTTTTCCATATCAATTGTGCTGCAAAATGATAGAAACTATGAATTACAAAGAGAAATTAGTTGTATGGAATGGTATATATATGTCAACTCTTACATCATATCTCCACCTCGTTTTAATTAGAGTGCCTCACCCTGGATGATAGTAGTTGTATTATCGAAGCAAAAATATCAATGCCGATAAATGTGATGTGACGACGAAGCAGGTCCTCACACTCGAAGAGTGAACAATAATTATTTGGCATCGGAATATCCTCTATTAATTATTGCTAAAACATTTTGAAAGTATAAAACATTTTTGGCTAAGGAATGGACTCTAACCGAATAGATGAGATCATCGTAATGATTTATTTATGAGAATTATATTTTATAATTTAAATTATAAAATAAAAATTATTTAATAAAAAAAAACGTTTAATACCAAGAATTTTAATATTTTATATTTTTTTATAATATAAAATTTCAAGAAAAAAAATTTAAGTATAAAATTTAAATTTTTAAGTATTCGAGTATTTTTTATATTGAGGTAATTAATAAATTATTATGTGCTAAATTTAATATTTTATAGTTTAAATTAATCTAAATTATAAATTTTTTTGTTTTTTATTTATTTTATATAAATCATGAATTAAATTTTAAAATATTTAATTAAGATAACAATCAATATTTATTTTTTTGAACATGAACAATCAATATTTATTATTTTTAACGAATTTGTAGGTAGCTATTAGTACTAAGGTGGATATCCCATCAAATGTTGATTCTGCACCACACACTTGGGATAGAACAAAGTACCGTGGTCCAGCCATGACAAGGCCTCACATGCTGCTGCTGGTTTCTTTACCTTCAAAGTTTAGAACAAGTTTCCCCTGCCTTTTGAAGCAAGCATTCACAAAAAACCTCAACCACGTTATTCCTGGTCCCACAACAAACATATATCTCTTCTACCATACCCAAAAAAAGAAAAAAGAAAAAAATGCTTGACTTTGCCTTTCCTTTGTTCCTCCTGCATCCTTCAAATCAAAAAGTAAATAATTTAGAATTGCTTATGTGTATGTGCAGTCTGCATTTATATTAATCAATGTAACATTTACGAGTATTACAAATATGAAATTGAGAAATTTTGTTACTGATTCTGGATGGTATGTATTACTATCACAGCTTATTGAGGTCGCTTTCTCTAACAAACAGCCCGTGGAAACCGTAAGGCACCCGATGAGGCAGCCTCACCGCTGCCACAATGTCAAGGTTTGGTGACTTAGCGTCCATCACCAAGAACCTTGACTCTCCTGTATTTTCATCATGAACATAAGACACCACATATCCATCATCCTCTTCTGCCTCTCGGTTATCCGGTTCCCTCGCCACAAAGAAGGGTTCTCCACCGTAGCACCCTGGTCCGTACATCCTGCTAGCCACCGTGCACTCCCGGCGTTCTCCATTAGACACATCCAACTTCACTACTCCTGAAATTTTCGGCATTGGATCGCCTATTGCTGCGTATACATACTTGTTCTGTTTTGCCGTGTATGCAGGATTTATCACTGCAAAGTCCAAATTTCTTGCTGAAATGGGGTCCCTTTTTACTAACCCCGTCTTCAGATTGATTGTTACCTTCTCCACTAAAGCATGAACAAGTTCCATTCTCTCCAGCGTGTGTTCCACGGATAGAATATTTGGTGCTATCAGGACTACTGTGTTGCCATCATCCTCCTCCCACGCATTGATGGCATGTATAAGGTTGAATCCTGGCACATCAAACCATTTCATCTCTGACTCGTCTTTTGCATAACGAGGGATGATGCCAAGTCTTGAAACTTTGGTTGGATCAGACCCAACTGGAGAACCTCCTCCGAAGATCATTTCCATGGGGTTCATCCCAATTTGGATGTCGGCAAATATGGCATAATTCTTTGTGATGGCAAAGTCATGGAGGAAAGATGGACGGGTCATGGAGAAAATGGGCACGTCTTGCTGCTTATTTCCATTTGCATCGAAGTAAAAGAGGGTGAGAAATGGAGGCATGGGACCATACCGGAAAGCAAAGGCCTCACCTGTTTCAGGGTCAATCTTGGGGTGAGCAGTCATGCTCATGAACAGCTTTCCATCGAAATCATGGCGTCCCAGTGTCTCTATATCTCCATTAGATGTCAAACGCATAGAATAAGGCAGATCAGACTCACCAAGGGCATAGAGACGGTTGCCAAAGAAGGCCAAATTAGTATTTGCAAGACCGATGCCATTTGCAGGATTGAATTGACCGGCTAAGATTCTAGCAGCAGATAAAGCACCACGAGCTGCAGAGGCAGTAAGGCCATTGAAGCTAGAGAAAACATTGGGAAGAAGAGGAGCACCAGCATCACGTTCCATGGTGTACTTATAAGTCTTCACGTAACGACTGCAGAGAGTTGCACGGCCTTGGGAGATTCTAATAGAATGAAGCATACCGTCACCATCAAAGAGATGGTAAGGTCCGCGAGGAAGGTACTGGGGATTAGGGCCGTTTCGTATGTATGCGCCGTTAAGACACGGTGGGAGGGATCCCTCCACCACCTCACACTCCGTCGGAGGAAGCTCATCCACAGGAGCAAAGTTAGCAGAGAGGACATGTCTGGGATCAACTGAGGGACGGATTGGAGGGTCTATGAAGTTGTTGATGATGTCGTCAAATGCACTGAAGATCACTGTAGGCATCGTGGGTTCTACCCTTCTCTTTGCTCCTGTTAGGGCAGCAACCTTCTTAGGCTGAGGTGAGGATTTTGGGACATTAGGAGGTTGGGTTGGTTTTTTGGTAGTGGTGGTGGAGGTTTTAGTGTTTGTTGGTGGCTTTTCTTCAATTCTAACAGAGGAAACGTTAAGAGGAACATAAGATTGTGTACGGGTAAGGGAGGCAGGAGAGAGGAGTTTGGATGATGGAAATGTAGAGAGAAAGGAGGAGGAGAAGGCATCCATGTTGCTGCCCTTCTGAAGAACTACAACAATGGAATTTTGGCTGAAAAGGGAAATGAAAGTAAAAACTGGATAAGAAATGGGGTGAAGACATGAAGAGAGAAATGAAACCTGAGGGCTTAGTTATAAAGAGGAAAAGAAGAGTACAGCCAAAACAATGGTAGTCGGTTTGCACACTCGACACGTACAATGGAACATGAATTGGATAAGGCATTTGGCAAGAAGCAGCCCTTCCTTGGCTTCATTAGCAAATTAAATTTCCAATCTAAAAATCACACTATATACAAAAAATTACTTTGATGTATTGCCTCAAACAAAATGAGAGACATAATAAATTTGTTAGAGAAAATTAAAAAAAATACATATTACTTGGTCGCAAAGGAAGAGAAAATGATATTAATTAATACTAAAAATGTAAAAACACTATTTACTTGTTACGGAAATTGTAGCAATTCAGGTGAAGAGAATGTCTGAATGGTAGGGTCTCTTCTAAGTTCTAACCATTCACATTTGTGATTTTGAGAGGTCACAAGCAGGATCACCAGTTAATAACTAATCCATCAGAACGCAACTTGTGGATGATGAAAATGAAAAAGAAGTAAATATGAGGCGGAAAAATAGAGTAGAAAGATGATATTTCTTTTCAAATCCATTAATGCAAAAGAGGACCACGGCATTATCCCCTCTTAAGTTTCAATGATAGTCCTTTCATATTCATCCACCACAAGCTTTCTAACACAAGAAGCTAGAAAAACAGATAACCAACCACAAATTGTAATAATCCAGGCATAAATATCAGTACTAAAACAATGAGACAAAAAATTTGGAAAAATCCATAAGAGAGATAAATCCCATTTGTGGATTGTAATAGATGTTTGATCATATCCAGGTGAATGAAGATTCCATTTATCTGCAAACTGAAATCCAGCAGATTCTATCTCTTTCAATAACAGTCAACAAGCCTCTGGTTCAGGCTTGCCAAAGATAAAGGAAAAATGCTCCAATGCAAAAATATAATGCATGCACAAAGGAAGCACTGTTCTATGGATAAGGTTTAATTACTCCAAGTTTGACTTGTTATTCATCTGCCTATATGGGTGGTAGGATTTTCATCCAACAATAATCAAATAATCCCCTCAATCAGCTGAAATGATGCTTTCAAATATAAAGTAGGTAATGTGCATACCACTAATGTTTTGTGGACTAAAGATCCTCGTTGACGCATTCATACAGAGTGGGACATGATTTTGAAGGATCATAATAAAAATCTTACCTGCAACTTGTGAGTCTTTATCCTTCAGGCGGTACTTCAGAAAAATCAGAGATATTCACGGCTTGAAAACGATAAATCATTATCATCAAAGTTATAGACACAGTCATAATTACTCCCTGGCATGAAATGGCAGAACAGCTGCTACTTAGAATAATAAAGGATTTCTATACATGGATTAAGCTTCTTTTTTTTTTACAATTATACATACACCCAAACAATCAACACTTATCTCAATACCCAAGGTAAAAATAAGGAGGGATAAATTTATAATTTTATTATTCATAAGCCTTAGAT